AGGTTGCTATGAGCTAGGCTGACACCATAGCACTCTAGCCTGGGCAACAGAGCAAGACTCTGTCTAAAAAATAAATAAAATAAAAATAAAAATACCATAGTATTCTTTATTTCTGTAAATCTCAAATCCCTAAATTACCAGATGAGGATTCTTATCCTCATATAGTAATGTAAAACTACTGATCTAATCTAATCCCACCCTTCCCAACTCCTGTGACCACTGTGAATCTTACAGATCAGTCATCACCAAAATTCTCCATATCCTCAACCTCTTCCTATATTTCTTGCTCTAACAGTTCACTGACACACATGGTTCTCCCCCATAGACACTACTTCTCTTTACAGCCCTTTCAAGTAGTGGTTGCTTTCTCTCTCACCCATTTATACTGCTAGAATAATGTATCCTCCTTGCTCCTCACTGCTGGTTTCAGAATAATGCCTCTTTCTCCACACACAAGAACAAACAGCTTTGAACTCAGGCTCCATATCTCTCCCTCATTCTTTGAAGAATTTAGCTCCTGCCATGCTTTCAAACATTACATCTGACTTAAAGCTTGATGACTTCAAAATTAATGGAAATTAATCTTTCCACCCAGCCTCTCAATACTTTGATTCCTCCTCCAAGAATCTCGTCTTTACTGTTCCTTAGCCACTTATTCCCATGACACGCCCTAGACCTTATTTATCATCGTTGACAATTACACCCCCTTAATCTCTATTGCAAACATTGTATAATCTTACCATCACCTCTTATCTTCCTACCTCATTCCCTCTGATACCCCAGTTCTAACAATTTTTCAGCCCCCCTCAAGACTTACAATGAATTGACTCAAACACAATTTCACTGTCCCTCCTCTACTTCATATCCTCACTTTCCTCTCTTTGCAGTGTAGACTTCCATGACCCATGAATATTATCACTCCCTCATAAACATCCTCAAAGCTTTTTCCCTAATCTTTGTCATAGCAACCTGGTAATACCCCAACTCCAGTTAAATCTGACTATATGCCCACTCTTTGCTGCACCTTTACATCTAGATGTGGCTGACCTCATTTTATATTCATGAGTACTAACTTGAAGTGGGCTCTTATTGCTACCTGACAATCATAACAAAGTTCTCAAGTCCACTTACTCCTCCCACCCACCTAGATGACAGCATATAAATATGCTGTTAATTTCTCCCATGTCTAAAAATTTCTCATTGTTATATTACTATCTGGCAAAGTAGAATTCAATATGAGGTAAGATGTAGAATTAAAGAGAGGACAGAGATAAAAAGATATATTTATTACTGGAGATAAAGAAGGAATATTTTATAATAAGTAAGGTCAATTCATCAAGAAGACATATAATCTAAATCTGTATGCATCTAGTATTAGAGGTGTAAATACATCAAGCAAAATTGTCAACTGAAGACATATAGACAAATCCACAATTAACAGCTGGAGATT